CAACTGTTTGTCAGTTTTTAAAATTATGATATTTATTATCTTTTTTTATCTGGCAAAACCTGAAAAAGCACTCTGTAAATTTGTGTCTAAAACGTAAATACAAGTGCAAGAGGGTTGTTTGTGGTTTTGCACTTGCAGTTGAATGTTGGAAGGATGCAAGTAGGGACTTTTCTCTGAGCCTCAAACTTCAGTCCAATAGATGCAAACTTTCTGGGGTTGGAAGTATCTACAGAAAAAGATCTTGGAAGACTCATTCCAGCATTCTGGAACCCTGTGATTAAATGAGAGCTGAGTGTAGACACTGCTCATTTGTAGCATTATGTAATATTTTAGAAGCTGTTGACTGGCTTATTGAAATACCAATTTAAGTTTAAATAACCTTTTTTGTCTAGTTTTGACAAACTTAAGTTCATTGTCTAAAAGCTAATTATACAGGATTCTGTACTCGAGGCAATTCATTGCTGATGGCAAACAAGGTAGCTGTCAGAAACTACTGCTCTTCAGTTTTCTACCTTAAATGAAACTCGTTGTGAGCCTTTTAATCCTGTACTGTGTCCCTTTCACAAAAACTCAGAACATGGAATTTATCTTTGTTTAAGATTTCTTAGTATTAATTTTGTATTAAACACTAAACACTTACTTAAGGAATCAGTGATCAAAAGCTACATTTGCTTTCATGTAATAATATCATGTAATGGGGATTCTAATGCTATATTACTGTACAGTATTGTAATTAACATGCACTGGAAGGTAAGGCCATAGATATGGAAAAGTCATATAAATTTTAATCTTCTGGACTAAGCAAATCCATGGAATGTCATATTTAAAAGACTTTTCAGGCAACACAAGCTCCATAACAAAGCAGGAGTGATAACTTCCAAAATTAAGTGGTCAGAATAGGAAAACAATATAAAAAGGTTTTGATAAGCAAAAGATAAATAGCCTTCCTTCTCATTAGTCGGATTATTTGCAATATGGGGTGTCATGCATTCGATTCATGCTCATGCCCTGCATCTTTTACACACACACACACACACACACACACACACACAAACATTTGCTTTAGTGGGAGTTTCGCAGGAGGCCCCCCACCTCTGGTTGGAGACTAAGCTTTAGGATAGGAATATTTATACTACCCACTTGTCTTTATATGCTAAATGGAAGCCCGTGTTCTGTTTCAGCAAGGAAGCGTATGCTGTGCTGGGCTCAGGAGACACTGGCTCCTGTGCAGCTCCTTTCTGGGAAACTGTATTTAGTAAGATGCTCTTTAGAGCGACAATGAAATAGGGACTGTCAGGTGAGCAGTAGCTGGTAAAGGAAGCCACATGGCCAATTTGGCATCTCTTTTTTGGAAATGTTCCTATTCAGATACACTTAATGGCATAAGCCAGAGTAAATCCCATTTTGTTTGAGAGCAGTGCAGCCAAATTCCAAAGTGGAAATATTGAGAGAAGGATGATTAAAAGCAGAGAGGCAGCTGGATAGGTGAGTTGCAGATAGGCTCACTGAAAACTCACATAAACCATCTGTCTGATGCAGCACAGCTTCCTGACACCCTTGTGCCTGGCACCCAGATGTTGTCTCCCATAGTAACCCAGAGGAGCCCCAGGCTGTGTCAGAGGCTGGGAAATGTGTGTGTGCACAATCACCCTCAGACACCGTGGAACAAACAGGTGGGTGTTCTCCCACCTCAGGAACCTGTTGCCTACATGTAGCCGAGGGGTACCAGTCCCACAAATTGGTTCCAAACACACTGTATATACATTACACTGTTTCATGGAAAACAGTTGTATTGGTTTCAAATGTTCTTTGAAAACTTTATGGGTAGATTGTTGGGGGTTTTTTTTGCTGATATTTATTCTAAACTACAAATGGTACAATTAAACTTTGCAGGTTGGGGGTTTACCATGTGACAGGTAAATACAAGAAAGGGGCAGAAGTTTACAAATAATCTGCAAATAGAAATATTTGCATAATGTGTGCTCCTTGTTGCCAGTACTGCAAACATAACTTAGTTATGTTAGAGCTGCAGTGCTCCATTTGTTTTACAGAAATCATGTAAGAGGTGGAGCGTAACATTTTGTCAGGTTGAACATTATAAAGTGAACACAGTAACCAAAGTTACATGCAATTTGCATCTGGTTATGGACTGTATATTTTGAGGTTTCTGCCCTGGTTCTTGTTCCAGAGTGTAATTAGGGAAGCTGTGCTGTGCTTGGGGAGGCTTGATACTGAAGAAATACCTGTTCCCCCAGCAGAATATGTCTACGAGTGAAACAGCCTACTCACCAGCAGGATTACCCAAGCAGGTGATAACAGCAGCTGCTCTCTGTACCATCAGATCTACCTGTGCAGCAGGGCACTTCCAAGTTCCTAGGGCTTAGTGTTTCTCACTGAACCCTCAGGGGTTGAAGTCAGGTGCTTTGGTAAGCAGAAAGAAGGTATCACACATGTTATATCTGTATTGTCAGGTTGTGCAGTGCAAGCAGCTGGTTTGGATAACCTGACTGTGGCATCTCAGGAGGGATTACTTGGGAGCATCTTGAGTCTGATCCACTGGACTGAGTATCCATTAATGGTCAGTACATTTGCTGTGATTCTAGATCTTACCTTTCACTTTACTTTCTTCTGAAAAGAATTCAGTTTATGTGCTCTGAGACCATGCTGCAAGGCAAACCACAGCATATTAAATAGGGATGGCCAAGAAATGATATCCAAACTGTATACCCACTGACTTTCTCCAGGCTTGTTGTCTCAGATCTGTTCAAGATTGCAAGCAGAGTCTTTCTCACCCACAGGTGAGGGCTTGAGGTTTGCCTCAAGTAAGTGATTTCACTATCTAGATGTTCTGAAATTAATCTTGCAGTTTCTACATTTTCCAGTTTGGGACAATAATGTTGCAAAGCTAAGAGTTTCCAAAGGTGGTAGTTCAGGCTGTACTCAACATCACAGACCACATACTATTAACATTATGTGATCTGTGATGTTGTTCTCCAGAAAAAAATGGAAATAGGTGATTTGGAGGACAGAACTCCACCCAGCTGATTTCCAGATGTGCTAGGTTAGTGGCAAAATTAGGTATGGTCAGTTAGCACTGACTTCCAGACAGATTCTGTTGGTAATAGAAAGGCTTGTCCCTGCTTTACTCCCTGGCACGGGTATTCCCTGGCATGGGTGCTCCCCACAGGCTTTAAAACCCATCACAGTGACATTAAATGGCTTTCAGCAGAGATCTGAATCAACTGTGCTGTAAGCTCTGAACTCTGGTCTCACTTTCACTTTGTAACAGGAATAAGACATAGTAATAGGATGGTGGAAGAAAGTTACCACTTCTTTTGCACACATGGTATCTGTTTTTCAAGGATTTCTGCCCTCTGACTTACCAGCTGCCTGTTTCATTAGCTCCAGTGTAAGTTAAGGGTTTAATATTTATCTGTTCTTAAAGAGAAACTACTAGCTGACAGAGCCTAATAGCAATAAACAATAGCAGAAAAGTCAGTTCATTCACAGTAAATGTTTTGTACTGTCAGTAACTTGTGCAGTCTAAACATAAACTGAGATACCCAAGCACTGAAAAAATGGCTTTTTAATCCATGTGAGGCTCTTCTCTGTTTTAAGCCAAGGTTGAAACTGGAAAGGCTAAGCCAGAATTGAGAAATTCACATTATCAACAATAACTTTTTAGCTTCATTTTCAACTACATTTGTGTGGTGAATATACTAGAAAATGGGCTCTGGGTTTGCATTTCCTTCTAGTCTTGTGCAGCAGGACATTAAATAATAGCATTTGTGGTCTAATCTGCACTTTAATATGTTTTCTTTACTTGCTTGATTGTATTAATGGAAAGAGGAGTATGGTCTTGTGGCGAGGACAGAGTACTGGAAGTCAGGTGATCTGGGTTATATTCAGAGTTCTGCCGCAGGCTTCCTGTGCAGTCTGCTGAAATCAGATTTGCTAATATATCAAATGAAGATAATGACATTTCCCCTCCTTACCAGGGTGTTGTGACACTTAATTCATTAATGTTTGTAAAGTGCTTTGTTCTCCTTGCTTCTAAATGTGCTTCTTACTGTAATGATGTCTTATGGATGGTATTAAATTTGAGAATAATGTTACTTTAGTGCCTGTGCACTTCAGTTGGCCGAAGTGTAGTAAAGACCATTATTTCCATGTATTTTATGAGGTACTGAAATTTTTTAGATGACTTACTTGAAATTGAGCTAAAATATAGTTACAGTTGTAAAATATGCTATGTCCTATGCCTGCTTCTTTTTTTTTTTTTTTTTTTTTTTCCCCCCCTTTTTCCCTCTCACTAGGAAATATTTAGCAATAAGCAAGAGTGTTTTGTTCAGACTGAAAGGAGGAAGAAAGAGTTTGGCATAAATACTCTAGCTGCTTGACTTCCAGCTCTGCTACTGAGTCTGCTTTCTACCCTGGTAAATCACAGGGTAGAGCTCTGTGTCCCAGTGCAAAATACACAGAAATATTGAGCAAGAAATTAAGTAAAAATAAATCTGAGTATACGAAAATGAGGATTTTTGGTAGTTACCGAAATAGTAGCTGTACTACAGCACCAGGCAACTGCATAATTTATGTAGCACGGTTAAACCAAAAAATAGTTAATTACAAAATCTCTGAGTATTTGGGCAGTGCAACTTCCAAGAAATTCACTACAAATCACACAGCTAAATTTCTGTATTACACAGGAAAATAACTTGGCTGAAATTCTCTTAATGGGAAATACGATGTATTTGTTAAAGCAAATAGAAGTTGTGCACAGAAGTGGAAGTAGAATAAACTGCTGAGTTTTTTCAAAACAAAAGCAAGAGGATTATTAACATTCATTGTGTGTATTTTGATTTTTCACAGTGTGGTAGTTCACTGAAACTCTGCTCATAGATGAAATCAAATGCTTATCAGATAATTTTAATAAATACAGCTATCTGTTTTTAATAGCCAGTGATAATTACATCAAATGAAGAAAGGAATTACAAACTTACCGTAAATAGAAGCAGTTCATTCAAGGCTGTACAGTGTTTGTCAGGCAGTAACCACGCTGCTGGTACAGTACAAGAAAAAGCATGCATATCCCCATACAAGCACTGCCCAACATTAGATTAGTAGGAAGAAAGGAAAGCAACTGACACTTACTATCAGTATAAAAGTTCCCAGGAATTCTGAGAGGGCTTCTTTAACCAAGCTGTTCTTCAAGGCAAATTTCTCCTTTAAACTCCTTTTGCTTTTCCGGCTCATTTTGGCTTCCTCTATTGCTCTGGTGCCCTAGTTACAAACACACACAAATTTTGTTCTGTATTCGTCCCTGCTTCAGCTGAACTTTGACACTTATACATTGAAATACGAGATTTCATGTTGTACAGCCAGTGAAATCATCTGACTGCAGGCATTGACAGAACCAACTCAACATGCCCTAACAATTCATCATGAGTTTTCCATCCTGTGCCTTCTCTGAGTACACTTCTATTTTTACTGGTTAGATAATACCAGTAAGTTCACAACCAGAACTCTTCTTTGTTTCTTGCAGAATGGATTAATCATTACCTTTCCTGCTTTCCGGAAAAAATGAATAAAATGTTGTTCCTGTCACCTTGATCAAAAAGAAAGGCAAAAAGAGAAACCACAACGACAGACACCAAAATATGGTTGAAAATTTCCCTCTGACCTAGATTGGGTTTTAAACCATGCTCTTATTGGCTGCCCAAAACCTTTTCAAGGGGAGGTTGTGAAAGAGTGAATGCTTGTGAGAATGCTGTGCTCTACCCTGTAAACAAAGGCTCCTATCTTGTCACTTCTGAGGGATTTCAATTGCTAACGAGGAATCTTACCTTGGCGTAGTATGTTGAATTTGTATATCCACCCACAACACTCTTTTTGGATTAAATGTCTTGCTCTCTAGTGACCCGTTCTGTTTACAGAAGAGCAATGAGGCAGAATAAATTAGGAACATTTAACAAAATCTCCTTCGGTCCAGTGGCTCCCTATAATGCAGTATAGGCAAGTGAGGCACTGAATGACTATGTCTCCAATATGTTTAGCTTAAAAGTGCATAGACGCTACAGTATGAAGCATGATAATATTATATTTCATGATCTTAAGTTGCTGAATATCTCAAAGAATTGAGCCTGTTGGGGAAGAAAAATACCAACAAAACCACTTTTAATCTCTGAAGTGTCTTGTATGGTTTATCACATGAGGTAGTGACTTGACTGACTTGCCATCTGGGTGATTTGCAAGGTTTTTTGTCGTTTAACTTGACACCAAACCCTTAGCCCAGTTTTGGTAGATTATTTTGGCATGTGTCGTAGATGCTCAGTGCCTTGGTTTCTATGTGTCCTAAGCCTTTTTCACCTTGGTGGTAAATATGTTCAGGTCTGTCAGTACTACTGTCTACTGTGAATAGGATGGAGCTTTACAGGATTGGGCAAATGAGTCACTTCTGTTATTCCATCAGTGTTCTTCCTTGCCTCAAACTAGGACCTGCTGCATGTTCTCTACAGCTGTAGTCACTTTACCACCACCAGTTTCATCCCTTAACCATCCAGTTCATCCCCACCACCCAATTTTAATCCTTAACCACTCTTCTGTGCCCCTCTACTCACCTTTTTCTGCCTTCACGTTTAAATACTGCCCTGCCTTTAGTTGATTGAGAAAACGATGGCTTATGGAAAGCAAAGCTGATGAATTATGAGATGACTCCATCTGTATCAGTGCTGCAAGAGCCAGGTGAGCACCTGTGCAGGAGCAGGCCTGCTCTCTTGCAGGAGTGCTACAGGTCCTGCCTGTAATGCAAGTCAGCGCTTGCACAGACAGCTGGGAGCTGCCTCTGGGAAGCCCCTGAAAATAGCCTGTGTGTATGGTGCTTTGAAAACCTTTACCCTAGACCACTGCAAAACAAAGATATTACTCAGGATGTTAATTGTCCCAGCATGCTAAAGTATATGTTTATTATGTCTGTGAGAGGAGTCTTTCAGAATTATGTATACAGTAGGGCTGAGGGAGGATGCTAGGGAGTGCAGGAATGAGATAAACCACTTCCTCTCTTCCAGGAAAATGAGAAATAAATAAATACGCTTATGAAAGCAATTTTTAGTTGTATGTCCACAGTAGTTCTTTCTTTTGTGCAGATGCAGGTCTCCCTCACGAAGTAGTATGCAGATACCTCTTAGTTTAGCCTCATAACAGGTGTGAAGGCATTACTGCTATTTTGCAACTAACAGTAGGGTAATAACATGTCAGAGACACAAAGCCTTACTCATTTGTCCAGATCATGTTTCCTTCCTTATAACAGTTCTTTTGTCTTTAAAGGGCTGAGAATCGACACAAATATACATATTTTACATTTGCTTTCTTCAGATTTTCTTCAATACTTTATAGAAATCATATGTTTTAACTCTACTAATAAGAAGCATGATGCTAAGTTAGAGCAAAGGTCCTTCTCATTTCCATAATCAGATTCAAACAGATGCTCTATGAAAGTATAGAACAGAGTACATAGGGGATGATTGCTCCCTTGGTGCATCCTTCCAGCTTTTGCCAATTGATAATTTAAAGTCACTGCTACACTTTGGAATCATTTTCAAATAGAAAAGGGGGCAGCACAGGAAGTTTGAATTACATTTCTTCTTTTGTTGTATTCAGAAAGAGGTTCTCAAGACATTTCCCAAATTAACAAATGCGTACCTAGCATTACAAGACAGACAAGTAAAACGTAAGTATAAACACCATGAAAGCTTTGTCCTTAATTACTAACCCATGTGATCCATGATCCTGTGTTACTGCCTTTTAGTCACATGCAATGGACCACCTGGTTGAACAATGGAAAGAAAATACATTGTGATTACTGGTTTCTACTGATCTCCCTCACCTGAGCCCTGCTCCCAGAGTCATAATGGTAAGGACAGTGGCAGTGCCACCCATAAACATGGACAGCTGTGTTTTCTGAGGGAAGAAAATGCAGACATTCTTCAAAAATTGAGTTTAGATAAGCAAGGAGCATAGGAAGAGGACAAACTCTGTCAAAAGTAGAACCACAACAGAGCTGACCAAAAAGGTTTTAAGATTTTGCCAAGAGTGTGGAAGAAATAACTTAAACTTTTTTCAAATTCCATCACTAGAGGAGTCCTGTAAAGCAACAGAGGCTGATAATGTAGAAGCAGCATTCAAGGTGCCTATCTCCACAGCTAAAAAGCTAATAGAATTATTTGCCTGGCTAAAGAACCAAACGTTAGGTGGGCTGTGGGGGAGGAACTGTCCTAAAATGAATTGTCAATAAGGAAGACTTCAAGAGAAATTGATAAATTAAACAGTAACTAATTGCTGGAGCTGTGTAGTGTTTCCACCAAGGATTCAAATGTTCAGCTACCGAAGTGCTAGTGCCAGTGGGTTGGTTTTTGCTGAACCTGATCCTAATGCCTGCAAAATAGAACATAGGAATTGTACCACTGATCCACTGGGGTTTCAAAAGAGCCCTCCAAGGGTGATCATGGACACTACAAAACTGTCAATGTGACTTCTCTGCCAGGAAAATTAGAGGAACTGATGTAAAGAATAACATCATTAAGACACACAGGTAAAGCTCTGTAGAAACATCACATGGGTTCTGGTAAGGGAAGTTGTGCCTCACAAATCTGTTGGCATCCTTTAAAGACATCTAAAAGCACGCTGATGATATTGTTCATGCTTGAACGTGTGATCAGGGGAGCCTTAGACTGCAAGACTGAGACCCTTGGGATCCTTACCCCAAGGCAGTCTGGACCAAACTGTTACTTCTCTTGCCTGTATTCAAGCAGAGCAGGAATTCACACAGTGTATATAACCTAATCATTTTTATAGTAATCTTCACTCCTATAGAAATAGCAAAGTAGAGAATTATGCACATAGCTCCCACAGTTTAAATCCCATGGGTAACAGTATATACTGTACAGAATTTTTAATAGCACATTATTCAGAGTAACACATAAATTGTTATTACTGATGTAGTAAAACCTAAACCAACACAGCTGGAGAGACCAAGGCTATAAATACACCTTTTATTTTTTGTATTGTAATAATATGGGCCAAGTTATTTTTAAGTCTAAATCTGCTGATTTTAGTTGAACTGGGCAAAGTCTGAATGTGTACATCTACTATAATCAATGTTCCTGGTCAAATGCCTTTGCTTAATTTATGTTTTCATACAGAAACTGCTGCATGGTCCTTAAAGGATGTTCTCTGGCTTATGGGTTGGTGCTGCTGCTGGAGAGCTAAAAGAAAAAAAATCAGGTGAGGATAATCCGAAAACGCTGTAATTCGGTGTTCTAAGCTTTTGGAGTACGTTAAAGCCCCTGTTTCTTTGGTTCTTGTGTGTTTTGATCATGCCTCTGTCTCTGCTGTAGTCTGTGGTGAAAAGCCGCTCATGGGGGCAAACATTTGCAATGTGCAGCTCAGGTCTAGCTAAGCACACCTTGGAGGAGGGGCAGGGCAGACAAGATGCCCTCTTGAGAATTTCTTTGTTCTTTCTTCTCTGTTTCTGTGATTTCAGCGTCCGAATAAAACACTTCAGTCCAGATCATGAATATGAGATCAAAACCACACCACATACGTGTGTTCCAAGCTTTTTGCCAGTAATCTTTTGAGGCCCAATTCAGAGTTTCTTGAAGTCCACTGTTGCTGGCACTGATTTCGGAGAGAATTAAATTGGACTTTCTCTAAAGCAGGACCCAAACCTTTTCTTTGTTCCCAGTTGGCTGGGCACACCATTGGGCCTCAGTGCATAACTGATGTTACTACATGTGTATATATATATTGCCTACAGTTATATAACTGAGGATAGTAAATTTTGGAAGTTGTTGTACAGACATGTCTGTGTATAACATAGGCCCTGAGAGCTTCCAAGCTAGTTTAATCTCCGTGCTGGCATAGTGGGGCACAGATAACATTCCACACCAACGGGCTGCATGACGGGACTGTCAGTGCTGCCAAAACGTAGAAGTGTAAGAGAAATGCAGTACAGATGTTACATGCACCAGTGTTATGTGCTGTGCTAGGCTCTGCTTCCTTCTGAGTGTGCTGGGTATGGCTCTAGTATAAGCTTATCTGGTAGGTTACAGTATGGGCACATCTGACTTCCTGAATACATCTGGAAAAAGATTGTTCCAGAAGAATTTTGCTTTTAAGGAATAGACCAATTTTGTGCAGACAAATGCTTTGTTGCAGCCAATTCCCTGGGTTTTTTTCTCTTTCATATTCCCTTTTCTCAAACTGTTAATGTACACAAGAAGTAAATGTAAGGGAGAATTGTTGACAGCATTTTCTTTTTAGAATAACTCTTTACTTTTCCAAATTCCTTATAAAAAGCCCTCAAAATGAAGATCAAAATTTTAAATTCAGCTTTGCCATTAAAAACAAAAGATATCTTGGCAAATATATCTTTGCAGTGTGGAGGAAACCTCAAAGTACATCCAACAGGCTT